AAGTTGAAATATTGAATTATTTGGTAATGCAATTTACTGAAATGTCCGATGCACCAATGTCCAGTAATGTCCAGCAATTATGGTCAAAATCCTTTCTGGCCAAAAGCCTGTATTTCTGTAATGGAATATTACATCAAACTTCACGCTAACTCAAAACAAAAATGGTTTTATTAATGCTTTTTCATCTATCTAATGGCATCTTTACCTTAATGTATATAGGATTACAATTTCCGATGATGTCATAAATGAAATCATATCGTACAAATAGAGTCGATTCCGCGTCACCGAGTGGGTTTTTTCTCCATGTTTCTAATACGTTTGAATTATTTAGAAGAAAAGAATACCCTACTAACAAAAGTTCTAAATTTTTCAAAAATTTGAAAATGAAAATTTGAATATATTTGAATTCATTTATATATTTCTGAAACATTTTGAAAGTGACTGTACAAAGATCTCTTTATTTAGAATAAATTTGAATTACCCATTTGTTTCTTTCACTATTCGAAATATTTAGAACTATTTCAAACAAATGAAAAATGGTAGATGTGGGTAATTGCCCCCATAAAAGTAGGTGCTAATCCTACTCTTCTGTATTCTTCTGTATATTTTTAGATTTCACTGCTGGACACTGGTGGCTCTTTTGTTGTAAGGCATCAATGCCTGACACCCAGGCAGTCTACCCTGTACTTCACAGGGATGTGTGAATTACTTCCTTCCCATCCCACTGACCTATTTACAAAATGTTAGAAATAATTCGAAATAATGGTAAAAAATGGTAGAGTGCTGTTAGAAATATTTAGAAACTATTGGAAATGTCATATTCCACATCAGGAATATTTCAAACGTTTTAGAAAACCAGGGAATTATTTAGAATATTGACAAGATGTTCAAAATATTTCCAAATTATGAAATTTCTTAGACAAACAATTACAAAGAATTCAAAACATTTCTAAATAATGACAATAACAACCCACTCGGTGACGCGGAATGGACTCTAAGTCCATCAACTTTCCTGAATAGCGTTCGATATAAAGTTAGCGTCAGGGGAGTATATTGCATAGTGATAGAGCTCAATTCCCCAAAGCATAAGGATCACCAACCCTCAAGGGATGTTACTCATCTCATAGCAAGTTGTTCATTAAAAAGTTCCTCAAAACGTGTCAAGATAATTAATGATGGCCAACATTGTGACTAAAGTACTTAATGATTACTATTAATGGCTTTGGGTAATCAATGTGGAACTTTCTGTGGAGTTTCTGCTCCTATACCCATGTACCATCAAGTGTTTAAAGAGGTACACAGTAGCATATGGAGGTTTAACTCTTTTCAGAAATCTCTCTGAAAAAAGGAGCAATGTCTCTGAAAAAAAGTAGAAAAGTTTAGTTTTTCTTTTATTGGTGTGTACACCTAATGAGCCAGATAGTAATTCAAAAGTTGCAGCATTTGGTCGAAAGAGGCATTTGACTTCATCTGGACTGTATACTATTCAAATAGTATGACTAAAGAATTTATTTGAAAAAAAAAAGTAATTTCTAAATAAGGCAATCTTTATGATATTAACACATACCGTTTCACTTAGCACATTTCAGTCAGTATTACATACTTCGGGTATTTAAACTGCAGAAACAAGCCCCAAGCTTGCAAGATAAGTCCTTTATTCTGTGGGTGGTACCCTAAAAATCAGCACAGGGACCTTCCCGTAACTATTTTTTGTCAGAATTTTGTGAATTTTTGCTCCATGAGGGTCAATATACATTGGGACATGTGTGGTTTCAACTGAGTATGTAGATAAGTGTCTAGAATATTGGCTTTGAAAAATCTGGTTTCCAAAATCCTAAAAACTGCACTGGATACATTTAAGATTCCTTTCTTGGATGTACATCCCGTGACAGAAGTTGTAGTTTCTTAAGTCGTAGTCACTAGAGTTGGGATAAGGTCACAAACTCGGGCGAGGCGAGCGCCTTCTGCGACCGGGATGGCTCCCAGCTCCGGACCATCATCTGGCGTCATTAAGGCCCCTCCATCCGCTGATTCTCTAACCAAATTCCCTGCCTATTACCCCAGATCCGGGGATAATGGCTCGCCGGCATTCCCAAGGATTCCAAAATGGAATTGGTTCAACTGCGGCGGCCATTTGTCTTTCCGTAGTTAAGGGGTTGATTGGGAGTTCCAGGCATGACATTGGAAATGGGCAGGGCTCAAAATTAAAGGTGGTCCAATGGCCACTGACCACTAAAATGTAACTTGGCACAACTCAAAAGACACCCATGGACATTTTTGGGACAATAGAAAAAATAACCAGAATGTCAGTCCTTCTTTTGTTTATTCAGGTACACATCCTGGCTTTTGGATCAGGAAAACTCCCCCGAATATCCTGTCTACTCTGCAATTATAGTGCGCCTGGGAGTCAACATAAGCAAAGTTGACTTCAAGTTGAAGTCGTACAATAAAAAAAAACAAACAGGTTGGGACAGATCATCTTCACATCGGGACAGTTGAAATTTATTTTTTGGGACAGTGCTGGGACAATAGGAAGAAAAGTTAATTTCAAGGCCTGAATGGGAACTGCAGACTTGATGTTGTACAGCCTTCAGTATCCAAGACTCCTCAGTTATCCATTTTTATCTGAAGCTTTATGTTTAAAGCTTATCTATTAGCGTGCATGGACTCACTGTAATGTATTTGAGTCACAATTCTAGATGCAATCGATCCATGCAGCTATAACTTTTCTTCTATTATAGTTTGGGTGGATGTCAAAAAGTTATGATAAATGCTTGGGAAACATATTTCTTTGCCGCTAGCAATAATTTCTTTGAACGGAGCATCCGCTAGGGAGGTGGGTCTTTTATTTGGTAGTGCAACTTATTGATATTCTGTGCTGATCTTTATCTTGTTGTACGTCTCTTTTAGAGTCTTGGGGACAGAACTTTTGTGTGTTACGTTTCAAGTGGAAACATAATTGTAACCTGTGAATAATTGTTTCTGCCGCTTTTTCCCAAGGGATAAGAAATGCCAGTGCAGCTGTCGAAAATTTAACTTGTCTTGCAAGTTTGTTGGTCTGCTTAGTCACTTCGTATTGAACATGTCGTTCTGAATATAAGTGTCGTTTGCAGCTTTGCTAATGCCCAGATTAACCAATATTGATTCCGTGGCGGTTATTCTGGCATTTCCGTCGGTAGGATCCATACGAAATGTTCATCCATCTCCATCTGAGTCCGTGTAACACGAGCGCACACCATTACCACTGAGCCGGCCCCGCTCCCTGATTTGACACGTGTAATTGCGGCTCATCCCCGCGCCCATCCACCCTCATTCCGCATAAACCCAGAACTCCCGAATATCGGAGAGCGGAACATTGAAAATTGGCGGTTAATACTGTCTAGATTCCCTCAAAGTCGTGCACAGTTTTCATGAGAACAGTACAGTTGGCTTCTGAATGCTGATTTTTAAACGGATGGTTGTCGTTGATGGAAGAAGGGGTGGGGGTAAGACAGGGGTGAACATCTCTTATACTGAGCCACGTCACTTCACACCTCAGTTGTACTTAGTCTCGGGACTTCAGCTGTCTTAAAGACTTAAGTCTTGCTGAGAGTACCTGACACTGATAAGACACATCTGTAAGACTCCTTCACACCGCATTCCTCGCCCTTGACTTTGGGTCGGTGATAAAAGTCTTGCCGTTCCTTTCCACACTTCAAAGTTCATCCCCGTGCCTTTTATGTCGGACACCTGACCTTGTGTACAATGCAGTCCTGATCTTGCAGTGCACAACAAGCTTGTCTTCACGCTTTAGTCAATGCAAGACTGATGGCGTGCTCCTGAACTCTTCTGCTCACTTAATATGTCATTTTCACTTAAATCTCACGGTGTTGGAATAAACACTTTCAAAATGCCACAGCTGTCCTTCAAGCTTACACTGTGGGTCTAAGGATGCTGACCTTCTCAGTTTTGTACAGGTGTATATGTAAAATATGCAAATGAATGAATAAATTAAGGTGGGAGTTAGGAAAAGGACATATTTCTTGTTTGGCACTGAAAGTAGAATAGAGGGTTAAATGACTAAGAGAGCATAAATGTAAATCGTTTTTCATAATTATAAAACAATAGGATGAAATTTCATTTTTGTTTTAACATTTCTTTTATTTTGTTGTAACACACAGCAAAGAAAAGAAAGTTATCATCATGGGTACTACAACGTATATCATTCCCTTTCATCCTATAGTTTCATGCTGTTTCACCCGTTAAAGTTATGTGATAAAGTAGCCACCGTTGAATGGTCTTTACTTGACATTTCGCACAATTACAAGTTGTCGAGTCTTAAAAATCATGGTTAAGTTTCATCATCCATGTAATAGCTTCTCATCCAAATCAACACTGCAAGGACACATGGTTTCTCACTCATATGAGCTGAATATCAATAAGGCACCGACATCAACAATTTTTGGGGATGAAAAATATAAAACCACAAGCTTATATCGCTGTAGCTTAAACTTTACACTTGTCTTTTGGTCCAGTTTAAGGAATGTGTTATGAAACAGCCATACATAAAAGTCTTAAATATCAATACAGTAAACACAAAAAATCTACACACAGGGATATATAGGACTGTCATTTGGTCTAAGCTCACCAATGGCACATGATCTATTTAAATCCTTTTCCAATTCCACACGACAAATACAGAAGACTGCGTATGTAAACATTTTTCTGCATGACTATTTCTCCATTCCAGACATGACACTTATTCCGAGGATAGTTTACAAACTTACAAGAAAACTGCCAATCAAATAGCACGTGGAAAAACGTGACAATGAACTCACAGACAAAAGAAATTTCAGGAATTAACCTGACGAATTGATGAATCTTTTTCCCTGCAAATTGTTACGGTTTATAAATGTATCTAAGTGAGTTTCACCATAATTAGTGCTGCATACCTAAACCCACATTTAGGTTCAGGTCCGGATTCAAGTCCAGAGATTTAGGTTCAGTTCTGGACTTGTAAGTCCGGACCTAAACCCATGGCATATACAAAATTGCATGTTGGCAACCTTGCAATGTTGTCTGGGTGAAACTTTGGCCACATAACATGGAGGCTAATTCTATCTATGTGCTGGAAGACATTAAGAATTGTTACAGATTAGAAATGTATCTAAGTGAGTTTCAGTGTAATTCAAAGTGCTGGAAGACATTAAGAATCTACTGCTAACCTTCCCTGCCATTCTAAGAGTGAAATACATCAGTTTTGACCTTTCTCTGCCCTACAGCAAACCTTGAACATGTTGTTTGTTTACGTTGTACTAAATCAGAGTGATTTTTGTTTTCGCAGCGTTGACCTGCCAGACGTTGAGATCCTCGTACTCTTCGATGGCCTCGTCAAACTGGTCGGGCGTGAAGCCCTTGGCGAGCGTGCGCTCCCTCGCGTCGGCCAGGTTCACGGTCTTCACGCCGGGAGGAGCCATCTCGCGAATCAGGGAGAAGATGACATCCTGAGGTTGTTGTTGCCTGAAAATGGAAAATACAAAATATGTAAATGTGATATCTTTTACAAGTTGATTTTTTAAAGATAAGGCCACACCAATTTAATATCTTGGTTAACGGATTTTTCTAGAAAAATAATGGAGCGGGCGGGCGAAAAAAAAACAAAAAAAACAGGCCTAGGCATCCTATTATGGCCCAAAATGGTACGATAGGAGCCATGAAGTCAACACACCAGGCTGGTTCAAAATTTTAACAATGAATTTTGAACTTTTAATGATACCATTGCATTGAAAGATGGAATAACTGTAACAACTAGGATGAAAAGGACTGTTTTCAACTGTTCAGGGCAAAATATGAGCATTTTGCAGTTGATTTTGAATTTTCATTTTTATTATATATATTTGCAAATCAGCAAAAAATGAAGCGGCGAATCCGTTAACCAAGAAATCAAATTGGTGTGGCCTAAGAATGTGCAATTGGTTTTGATAACATAACAAACATCATACATCTACTTGAAAAACAGGAAAAATATTAAGTATCAACTCCTTGTTGCATAAAAATGGAAAATACAAAATATGTAAATGTGATATCTTTTTTAAGATGAGAATGTGCAATTGGTTTTGATAACACAACAAACTTCACAGTTAAAAAAAAAACAGCAAAAAGGGAACATACACGTCTTCCATGGTTTACAAAAGAGAAGTCAAACCCTCCAGACATAGTTTTGGTCATACCAGTAGCTAAAGTTTAAGACAATTACCTTTCATTATGTAGATTTTAGTTAGTATACTGTTTCAATGTTCATTTATGTTTGTAATCTGCAGTTAGCCTCCGAGCATGAATTTTTTCAATAAACTTCTCATTAAAAGAATCAACTCCTGTTAAGTGTCTTGAAAAGGTGTGTTAAAAAGTAACTGACTGATTATGTACATGTAATTGCTTTTATTTATTATGGTTATGAACTTATGGTTATGACACTTATTCCTTTCCTACAAGTGTTTGAAGTGATCTGTTCCCCAAGTAAAATTCTGAAGTGATCTGTTCCCCAAGTAAAATTCTGAAGTGATCTGTTCCCCAAGTAAAATTCTGAAGTGATCTGTTCCCCAAGTAAAATTCTGAAGTGATCTGTTCCCCAAGTAAAAGACTGAATTAGACTGAAAAGATTAAACATGGGCTTAGGACTGAGTCTCCCTTCTCTAGATCGCTTTAGACACTGGAACAGTTGAACTTCAACCACACCAGCAGGTGCAACTTTAACTTGTAAACCATCAAAGTCCGCAAACATCCAACAGTATGCTCTAAGTTCTAGCACGACAAATCCGAACTGTTGTGGTACTTTTCTTTACAACCAGCACATCAACTATTAAGTAAGAGGCTGTCCAAGGAAGGTGTGAGAATTGTGGCAACTTGAACTTTTAAACCATCACAAAGTCTGCAAACATCCAACTGTATGCTCTAAGTACTAACACGACAAATCCGAGCTGTTGTGCTATTTTTCTTTACAACCGGCACGTCAACTATTACTTAAGAGGCTGTCGAAGGAAGGTGTGAGAATTGTAGCAACTTGAACTTGTAAACCATCTAAGTCAGTAAACATCCAAAAGTAAGCTTGAACACATTAAATCCGAGCTGTTGTGGTATTTTTCTTTAGAACCGGCATGTCAGCTATTACTTAACAGGCTGTCGAGGAAAGGTGTGGGAGGAAAAGAAAAGAGGTGTTACAGTGTGTCTACTGACGTTACAGGGCAAAGTCTGTTTGAACCTGTGCAACTGGCTTGTGTCATTTTAGACCTTGACTCAAGATACAAGGCAGTTCTTTTCCTGTCGGAGTCCTTCAACGATTATTTCCGAACTTGTGAGTTCAGTTCAAAGCAGCAGGCTGATCTGCAGGTTTCTTGTGTTTTAGATCAACCTGTTCTGCAAATTGTGATCTTGACAGTCTCCTTGATCTTCACTTAGTCTGCCCAGCTGTTCATTATCTATGCAGAGGAAGTGTGAGGAAGTCTCTGGTATTACCTAAGGCCATGTTGATTTGATTATATGGGTGACATCCTCTGGGAACCCCAAAGCTGATGCGAGCGTGCAAATAAAAAAAAGTTTGGCCAAAAAAAGTTGTTTTCAATATGAAATCTACGTGGTCATGAAGGTTGAACAAATGAAACAGGATATGGTATGGTGAATAATCTACTGTTCAAATTCATTTTCTTACATTTTCGTCTTTTTCGTTTGATTGCGGCAATCTATGACATTGGTATCGTTTTCCATTTTTGTGTGTGCAACTTACGGTATATATTTTCTCCTTTTGCAACTGTTTGGTACCATTTACAGTATGGTTAAAAACTTTTTTTTTTGGAAACGGCCAAAAATTCATGCGCGTGTGGATGTCATCCATATTATCAAATCAACATGGCCTAAAGGCTGCTGCTACATTTTTACTTCAAGTCACCACCAACAAACTTTTGAGTGAAAGACTTAAAAAAAATACACTGTAAAAAGTTCACTGACATTGAACTCCTATCAGTAAAGAGTCTGGCCAAAATGCCACCCAGTCTGTGATTCCGAAGAACACAGTCTGCACGAGAAAAAGCAACAAAAGACTATCTCCACATTCCTCTGATTTACAAAGTGGAAAGTTGGCAGTGGTATGGCCCCACCAACCTATCTTCTGTCCCCAGATTGTTTCACCATGTGTAAGGAGTTTGGCACCAGCATGTACTTGGCCCAGTTACAACTTGACCCTTTTCCCAGTATGTAAAAGTTTCCAAAAGCCGGGACTGGCGGATGCATTAAAGATGGGCCCACGCCCCACGCTGGGGTATGATTGTACAGACTTGCGGTGAGAGGTCGCACGGTTCACTGTGCCAAGTCACCAACTCACATCTGTTGGAAAGTGCGCCACAAATTCTGGAGTCGGCCAGGTTCATTTGCATAGGTCGCGAGGTACAGCGTTCCCACATTTTTCAAGCCGGTTTCTCACCACGCGATACGTCGTTAAAAACTCACATCTTCGGTAGACTGTTAGAAATAAAGTTTAAAAGGGTTACTCCGAGTTAATGTGCTTTTCAGGATGTAACAGTTTGGGCAGACTTCAGTTCTGTGCTCTTCCAAATACAATGAAGGCTACAACCTCTACAAAGATCTTTAACCAACCAACCAACCAACCAACCAACCAACCAACCAACCAACCAACCAACCAACCAACCAACCAACCAACCGACAAACATAATGATAGTTTACCAATAATACTATTAACTTCTTGGCAGGTAATAAAAACTACAACATGTCGTAAAAAAACAGGCACATGGAATTTGCCTGTTGCTTATTACCAGTGGTATAAAATCTACCATAACGAAATTGAGACAATGTGACCCAAAATTAGTCACATGCAATTGATAAATGCAGACTTAATTTTAGGACCACTACTGCAAAAAAAAATGCATCCATCTTCGAAGGTTTGGACAGTGAAATTCAATAAATCTAGGATACACACAGGGCTCGAAATTCATTTTTCTGAATATGTGCACTGGTGCACCCAACCTAAAATATTGGGTGCACAAAAATATTTTGGGGTGCACCATATAAAATAAGTAGAATGTTAGCAAAAACTTACATGTTTCATATCTAAAGCAAAGTACTACTATAATAATTTTATTTTTCTGACACTTAGAATTTAAGAATATGCTATTTTCACATTTTGTAACCCTATAAAAATATTTGGGTGCACTGGTGCACCCACAGAAAAAAATTGGGTGCACAGCTCCAAATTTGGGTGCACTAAGGTGCACATGCACACAGTATTTCCAGCCCTGTACATATGATCATTGTGACATTTTGTAGAGGATAATCTTCACTGATGTAGGTTGGAGGCTCCCAGGAGGGGGTGGGGGGCAGCCGTAAGAGGATTAAATCTACCAACAGGTGACTGCTGGGTAGTGTCACATTACCCACAATACCCCTGATCCCAACTGCCATCTGTTGCAAGACAGAGCCAACTCGCAACTCTTGCCAAAACGGGAAGACATTCGAGAGGCAAAACTGACGATTTTCTTCCTCTGGAAGCACTTTAAAGTACCTTCAAATACGAAAAATGTCTAAGCCTTCTTGTGATCTTTGTCAACCTTCTTTCATCTCTGTAAAGGCTAGTTTCAACAGGGATATCACTTGTTCCTGTCTTCAAAAATTTCTTTTGGTTGTTTCCCTTGATCGTTCCGTGTTGGGCTGTAGCAGAGTGTTAGTCCTGAGCTGGATGGAGCTATCGATCCAGCAAGTACATTTCTCTACAATTTTAACATTTTTTTATGAATCAATTTTAAACTGCAATTTCCAACACAACAAATTGGACTCACATAAGTTTTCGACTGTACAACTCCAGTCTTTGTCAAGGAAGTTGTGTTGGAAATTGCAGTTTAAACTTGCTTCATAATGATTTCTACCAACACAGATGAACTTTCAAGATAAAACATTTTTTTTCTATGCTGCTCTATGGAAATCTGCCGCAGGTTGTACTTATGAAGGTATCTTTACCTTTCACCTACTTCTAGTAATCGTCAACCACAAAACTTACTTTTTAAACTGTATGACAGGTAAATTTCTGTATGTGGGTTTGTATGATGTGATGCTGTTTTTCTCTTAACATGGGCCATTGGCCTGATACAAAGAATAAGATGAAATGAAGAAGAAAAGAGAGAATCTCGGTGCGTATCGCAAACCTTGCCATCTGGCCCTGACAAGCCGCCATTACCAGTGACAGAATACCACCCTGAAGCGGGGACAAAGGCTCACTGAACATGTCCAAACCATTAGTGTTCACTCCTCGGGACATGCAAAATATTTGCATTTGGTTACACCCAAGAAGGTCTTCTCAAAGACAGGAAACCAGTTAAGTCTTTGGAAAACACTGCAACATCATGTATAATTTTCTATTTGCAGTACTGTTCAGAAAATGCTAGAACCTTTTATTTCATAATTTGAGAAAGATATTTTTTTCCTACACAGTACTTAGTCTAGTATTTGAACTTTGTAGT